CACACACACACACACACACACACACACACACACACACACACACACCTGTGGTCACACATGCATCCTGCACAAACACATACACTCCTTATGTAGAGTTCGCCAACCCTGTCCTTAACCATACCCCTCACTACTGTCTATTCTTTATACTCATGGCCTTTTCTTTTCTTTGCCAAAACAACTGACTCTTAAACCCCATGGTGGCATAACTACCAGTCTAATGAGGAATCTTCTTATTTTTTTCTCCTCTTGTTTTGAATCCGGTTTTATGTCTGTAGTCCAGGCTGCCAAGGACTGGCGACCCTCCTGCCCTCAGCCAACTGATCGGAGGGGATACAGGTGTGCGCCTGTCCTTTGTGTGTTTGAGGGGTTTTGTTTTTAAAATTATCTATGTAGCAGTGGATGACCTTGAACTTTTAATCCTCTGCCTCCACCTACCAATGTAGGGACTACTGGAATTCCCCACCAAGCCTGGTTTATTTGGTCTTGGGGACCAAACCCAGGACTCCCTGCATGCTAGGCAAGAGCTGACCCAACTGAGTCACACCTGTAGCTCAGGCTAGCCTGGGACTCACTATGTAGCTGAGGAAGACCTCCTGATGGAATTACAGATCTACAGCATTGAACCTGAATTTTTTCTCTTTTTTTCTTTTAACCTTTCTAGATGACCTAGTCTTTTTACTGAGAGTGTTTTGGAGTGCCACAAACATGACCTGTATCTAGATACTGCTCTTCTTCTGAAGCTGGTGAGCTGTGATCTGGTCAGGAGGGAGGGAAAGGAGGCTGTCCCAGTCCCACGCCCTCTCAAGGACACTCAGGTCAGTGTGCAGCAGTCCCTGGACTGTCACCTGTGTAGCCAGGCTGCTTTGAAGGACTGTTCTGACTAGCGGCCCTCAAGTTGGACTCATCTAACTCTCTATGCAGCTCCGAGGGACAGGATGGAAGGCACCAGCCTCAACCAGCACATGTCCAGACCTGTAGCTGATGACACTGTGAGATGGAGCCTCACCCCCACTGCTTGAAGGTTTAGTCCCCTCACCCCTCGGGAGATCTCATACCCCTCACATTTAGCCAGTTCTTGGGAGTTTGTGCATTTTTCTTAAGACTAGATGCTAGAGCTAGGGGGAAGGTGTATGCTTATAACCCAGGACTCTGGAGGCTTAGACAGGAGACTAGCCATAAATTCAAGGCCAGCCTGTGCTATATAAGGAGCAGTAGTCTAGTTTTGGTGAGACTGTGAGATTCTCTCTCTCTCTCTCTCTCTCTCTCTCTCTCTCTCTCTCTCTCTCTCTCTCCTCTCTCTCTCTCTCAAACACAGAAGTCGAACAACAGGACTAGTTCTCGATGTGCCTTGCATGCACACTGGTTCTTGGCCCTGGGTTCTTGTCCAGCATAAAATAAAACCAGGTGGAGGATGCTGGGAATCCCAGTATTGGAGGGTGGAGACAAGAGGATCAGGTGGTCAAGGTCATCTTCCAACATGGAGAGTTGGAGGTCAGTCTAGGAGGAATGGCACTATTTTAAAAGCAAACAACCCCTACCACAAATCTTAATGCCCAAATCTGAGAAAACAGTGGCATGGCAGCCCATTACAACCACATATTCTGTGTGAATCAGAAGACCTTTCTGATAGAGAGAAGAAAGTCGGCCATCTATATGTGCAGTTTAGTAATTTTTTTCCCTGTGACTCACATCTGGAATTGGACTGAGCATTGAGTTCATCCCTGTGCACAGACCTGAAGAGTTCACTGAGTACTTCCTGCTGGCCCTGTGGGAGGCACAGGGGAGCTGTGTGAGTAGTGCTCCCTGGTGATCCTGTGGGGGGCAGTCTGGAGGAAGGTTTGGAGAGCATGGAGACCCCCACCTGTGCCAATAAGAAAGGCAGGAAGGCTGCTGGCCCTGCAACCTTCAGAAACTCTGGTGTTGTGCTGCCCCCTTGTGGCACTTCTATGCCAGTTCCCTGTTAGTGCACCTGGTTGGCTGAGGTCCCTGATTCACCTGGTGCCAACCACTGTGGTGGTTGGGTGGGTTTGTGGGTGGGGTGGGGGAAGGCTTGCTCGGCTATACCCATCTAACATGATTTTGTCCTTCCTTCTTTCATTCCTTTTCCCCATTATCATAATAAAGGAACAAAATACCCTTCATAGATCTGCTGACCAGGAGATGGCCTTGAAGAAATTGCAGAGATACACACTGCTGTTCCAGGCTGTGTTGTTTATAAGGCTAGACAACTGGGCAGCGAGTCAAGAGTGTGAAATCGACACTCTGGGCCAGAATCAGAAGCACAAGAGGACTGGGACAGTGACTGTCTGTTTTTACATTACCTGCTTCTTTTGTGAGATAGGAATTCGTTCCCCAGAATGCAAGAAAAAGAGTGAGCAGGCTTGCTGAAGCTTGTCACCCCAGCACTTGGAGATGGAGACAGGTGCATCTCCTTTTTTGTTTTGTTTTGCTGTTGGGATTTATGTATTGGGTTTGTTTGTTTTTTTCCATGACAGGGTTTCTCTGTGTGGCCCTGGCTCTGTGGACCAGGCTGGCCTTGAACTCACAGAGATCTGCCTTCTTCTGCCTCCCGAGTGCTGGAATCAAAGGCATGCTCCACCACCACCTCCATTTGATGCAGGTGCATTAATCTTGCTGGCCTTGAGAAAGCCTGTGTCCAAAACACAATGTGTACAGCATCTGTGAATTGACATTTGAGGAAATACATGTGCTACACATATACAAATTTGAGCATACATGTGTATGTATTCAAGGACACACATGCACAAGCATGCAAGTGTAAACATATAATGTGTGAGTGATCTTTACACACACTGAAGTAAAAATAGTGATAAAGAAGCACACAAGGGCTGGAGAGATGGCTCAGAGGTTAAGAGCACCGACTGCTCTTCCAGAGGTCCTGAGTTCAATTCCCAGCAACCACATGGTGGCTCACAACCATCTGTAATGGGATCTGGTGCCCTCTTCTGTATACATAATAAATAAATAAATCTTTTAAAAAAAAAAAAAGAAGCACACAGTTACTTGAAGAACTAGGTAGCTTTTTGGAAAACCTGACCTTCTGTGCAGGAACATCCTGGTGAGCAAGACCTAGGAGAATGAGACAGGGTGATGCTGCTGAGAACACTGAGGTGGTCCTCTCTGGATGCTCTATGGTTGACAGAGCCCAGATAGACATTTGGGGACTCTTATTACTGCTGAGTAGATTCCAGTTGGTGGGCTGACAAGGTGATCCCAGCTTTGTTAGCACTGTGGGTCACCTGGATGTCTCATCTCTCTGCAGCACGAGAGGAGGCACCTCTCAGAAGCTGAGGAGGATGGCCCTGCACTCGGGAGCAAAGGCCACCTTGATCAATTCTACTGGCATTAACCCCCCTGCAAATCATTGCAATGTGTTTTCTATGTTGGAAATAAAATGCATTGTTAAATGAGCTTTTTGTTGTTTTGAGACAGTGTCTTTGTGTAGCTCTGCCTGGCCTGGTACTGTGTAGCCCATGCTGGACTTAAATTTGAGGCCATGCACCTCGGCTTCCTGAGTGGCTGGGATCACAGGTGTGCCTCATCACGCCCTCTTCAATACACACTCCTTCCTCTTTGTTTTGTGTATGTGTCTGTCTGTCTCAACAAGTGTATCACATACCTGTAGCAGGATGCTTAAAAGTTCTTATTGATAAAATCAAACCCGAGGCGAGTTATTGGGGTCCATGCTGGTAGATCAGAGAGACAGAATAAGCCACAGCTATCTCACCT